CTAGTGCCCTTCACATGGATGTAGTGGCAATCAGCACTGGCAAAATGGCAGGAAATTGCCTGTGCAGAGTGAACAATTGATAATGGAGAAAAGTGTCCATTAATGCCAACAACCAAGCAAAGTGTTCTCTTTTTAGAGTGTCAAGTTTTACAATCAAGATTTGACTTCTTTTTGGAGGGATACCAGGGATTGAACTCAGGGACACTGGAACACAGAGCCCCATTTTCAGCCCTATTTTGTATTTTATTTAGAAACATAGTATCACTGAGTTGCTTAGTGCCTCACCATTGCTGAGGCTGGCTTTGAACTTGTGATGCTGCTGCCTCAGCCTCCTTAGCCGCTGGGATTACAGGCATGCAATCCTGTGCCAAAGGAGGAGTTGATTTATAAACTTCAAGGCCCCTCCATGGCATCCCAAATGTGTCCCTTTGTAGGTCATCCTCTCCTTCCAGCCCCCCAGATATATGTTAATTAAGAAATTACAAAAAAAAATTTAATAGCAGTGATATTTACTTTTTTAAGGTATGTATTGAACAGGGAGCATAATCACTTAAGTAATAGACCTTCACAGTTTTAAGCATTTAAGTTTTTCCAATGAGTGTATATTTTCAAGTCTAAAAGAAAGGTACAATCCTGTGGTTCATCATCTTTTTAGTCATAAAGATTGGTTACCCTGATAAATTTGGGAAAGGTTATTATTGCAATGGCAATAGATATTATTACAATGGCAATAGATATGAAAAATGAAATTATCTTCAAAAGAAAAATAGCACACCTGTCAATAAAGAGGAAAATTTAGAGGTCAATATGTTGACATTATTACCTACCTTGTTTCCTGCTGAAGAAAAGACTTAGTACTCCCTGTTCCAGAAAAAGGTCTAAACAAATGTAAGCTGAAACATAATAGCTAAAACCCACCTTCTTATCACAAGTTAGTTATTTTAAGGTGAACATACCTGTCAGAAGGATTTTCTATGTGCCCCAAATTTAAACTCCATTTCCTGCACAGGCTCCAGTGCCAGGCAGAGCCATATCATGGTTCAAATTTTTAAAAAGGCAGTTATGATCCATGTTGTTATGAAATAATTGTAAATAATCTTCCATAACATTATAGTCATTGAAAATGTGGAAAAATAGCAAAGTTAACATGCTATTTTAATAGTTCAGCAACTGTTTTTGCCTCAGGAAGCAGAACCTATGCACTGCAAGGTGACCTGCTGCTCTGAAGCAATTCCACATGACCAAGATTCATGATTAACAGGTTTAGGATCCTGAGGGCACATGGCTTCTCACTGAGTAGAGCAAAAAAAGTACAAGGAAGGCAACTATACTTTCTGGAAAGTAAACTGGAAAAAACAATCCAGTTTAGTAAAAAGTCATGAATCTTTACATGTTACTTTATCTATGATTTTCTGTTTTGAACCCACTCATCTTTAAAAACTAGATGCATACTTTCCGGAATCCTTGATTTTGGTTCTGACTTGATCCATGTATGAGTAAAAGGTGAAAGAAAACAGTGTCTCCCTTCTCCATCACAAGGTACATTCAGACATGGTCTTGATCATAGTCCTAGATCCCATGGTTCATGGAGTTAATTCCACCCTGGAAAACATAAGGCAGGCACAGAACCAAAATGAAGACTTTAAGGAGGAAGAACCAAAATGAAGACTTTAAGAATCGGCAGAGAAAGCAAGGGTTCTCTGGCTTCTTCTAAAAAAAAGACTCACCTAAATTTTTAAAAAAAAACAATAAAATAAGTCTGTCATATATCTGTTCTTTTAAATATCCTGGGCAATGCTATAGTCATGCACACCTCTGATCCCAGCTACAAGAGAGGCTGAGGCTGGGACTTCATGAGTTCTGGAAAACCTAAGCAAATACAGCCAGACCCTGTCTCAAAGGAAGATTTTTACAAAACACTAAGGATGTAGCTTAGT